CCCAGCAGCCAGTTATGAGTGAGAACATGTGGTATTTCTGTTTCTTTGTCTGGCTTATTTCACTTAACATAATTTTCTCCAGATTCATCCATGTTGCTGCAAAAATGGCAGAATTTCATTCTTTTTTTTATGGCTGAGTAGTATTCTGTTGCCAACACCTGTTCTTTAAATGATTTATTACCTTCTGCAGTCTCTTCTAACAATTTGTTATTTTATGCTCTTTAGATTCTTCTCCAAATGTTATTCCTAACCCTTTTTTATTTATTCACCTATTTATTCCTTACCTATTCATTTCACACACTGTATTTTAGACACTGTCAAATCACTGTAGTACTAAGCCAGGACACATGGTCTCACCAAATGATATATCAGATTGTATTGTGTCTACAAAAATTGTTTTCTGTATGTGTGTGTGTATATATATATATATACACACACACATATAAACAAAGACATATATATATTATAGATTGCTAAGCTTTTTTTATTGAAACATAATTGATTATATGTATTGGTCAGGTACAGATTTGACTATCAATACCTGTGTACAACGTGTGATGATCAAATCAGGATAATTTGCATATTCATCATTACAAAATGTAATCATTTCATTGTGTTGAGAACATGTGATCTCCTCTCATAACCATTTGATAACATGCAGTAAGTTAATGTTAATTATAATAGATTGCTAAGCTTGTGAGTCACTTGCAAAGACTACTTCATAAATGTAATTTACAATGTTTAAAATCCTTATAACACTCTGTTTGTCTTGGAAGTTGCTCTTATAAATTGCCAGTGTTTCACTGTCTCACCAGGCAAATTGGAGACAATCTGATTGTCCCTGGGGGAGTGAAGACCATCGAAGCCAATGGGAAGATGGTGATCCCTGGAGGCATCGACGTCCACACTCACTTCCAGATGCCATACAAGGGAATGACCACAGTGGATGACTTCTTCCAAGGGACAAAGGCTGCCTTAGCGGGTGGCACCACCATGATTAGTAAGTCCTCAGATTTTACACACTCCTCTTCCCCAGAGGCACGCGTTTAATGAATCCTGTTCCACAGTGCTATCTTGATAGCTTGCACACTTCCCTCAATGCAGTTTGTAGACTTTCTGCCTGACGGGACCTGAAAAAAGCAGGTTGTAATGAGGGAATGGGCAGCTCACCATAACCGCATGGAGGAGATTGGTGAGGCTCATGCCATGAAAACAGCATCTGCCTTAGCAGCAGGAGCTGACCCCTGCACTGGGTGGGCAATCAGGAAATATCACCTCTGGGCTAGTCACTGGGGAAAGTGGACTTAAAAAGTTGTGGATAGTGGACAAAAGGGTATTTCAGAACTGTCAACTTGGGTCTGAGGGAGGAGGGACAAAGGGCACAGGCAGAGCAGTGTGAATGGGGCTAAGGAGTATCACAGAGAAAACGGTGACGGAGACATAGTTCTTAGGAAATTAGTTGGTTTCAGTGGCATTTAGAGCTATCTGGTGTGCATTGTATTTTGAACAATGCATGTGTTTACAATTAGGCAAATTGTGGGAGTGGTTTTCCTTGTGTTTTGTTTGTTTGTTTGCTTGCTTGTATTTTTGTGGGGTTTTTTTTTCTTTTTTTTTTTTTTTATAACTATTACAATTCCAAAGAAACCTAGGGAGTTGCATTTCACTGCATTACTGAACCAATAGCGTTCCAGGGCAGTCCTTTCTGTCCCAAAGGAATCCCAATGAATTGGGTTCCATCCTAGGACTGGCCTCAAACTTGGTCAGCCAGAGCACTGTTTAGCATCATATGCATCCACCCAAGAGCACAGAACAGCCTGAGTCGTGGAATTATCCACTGTCAGTTACTTCCTTTTGACGGGAGTACCTGCAGGGTTCGACCTCAGCTAGTTGGGTGTGGAAGCCCAGGATAATTGCATCAAGGCCATAAAAGGTGCAATTTAGGGAGACCAAAGCTTTTCTGACATTGAAGGGAGGAAGCCAGCTGACTTCTCAGCAGCTGCCTGCCCATGAAAGCCCTGGTGTCGTTCCAGACATTAGTAATGTAGCTCCATGCGTTTGCTTTCTGATAAGTGCACTTGGGCTGCCTTTGATAGAAGGCTGAGGAAATGAGTGGTCTTGGGTTGGCTTTCTGCCATCTGGGCAAGGAGTTGGACCTGTTCAGCATCCTTGAGATTTGTATTATGCTTCTACATTAGAGAAGGAGCAGGAGGAAAGTCAAGAGTTCCAGGTGACCAGAGAGTAAAGCATGCAAAGAATTGTGTCCTTCACAGATAATTTAGAAACCCTAGAGATGCAAAAAGAAAAGATACCTCACAATCTCACATCACTGTTAGAGTTGGGCTATGTACTCTACACATTTTTTTTTCCCTATTGAACAAAAATAGGATCATAATATATGTTCTGCATGTTAGCCTGCCATTTTCACTGAATAATATGTCATGGGTATATTTCCATTCATGTATATTTATTCTTACACAACATTTAAAAGGCATCATGATTTTTATATTGAACCAAACTTCCCTACTGTTAAAGACTTCATTTGTTTCTGTTTTTTTTTCACTTATGTAAGTATATGAATAATGTCTGTGGTGGCAATCTGATTTTTATATTGAACCAAACTTCCCTACTGTTAAAGACTTCATTTGTTTCTGTTTTTTTTCACTTATATAAGTATATGAATAATGTCTGTGGTGGCAATCATCCTTAGAACCAAAATTTTGCATACAGCCACATTTATCTCCTTAGGAATAATTCTTAGGCTTGGGAATAATTATTGAGTTAAGGTATGAAATGTTTTTGATATATGTTTCAAAATCATTCTCAGGAAAGTTGTACCAATTCACACCTTGCCTTTGCTGCCTCAGGGACCACAAGAGTGTAACTTTTGCCTTATCCTCACCAACTGTACATGTCATTATTGGTTGCAGGTGAAAAAGGAAGTTTGGGCCTCAAGGAAACCAGATTCTTGACAAAGAGTTGACATGGAAATAAGACCTGTGGGCCAAGTGTCAGGTTCACTTAACTGATGCCAGCTCTTTCCTATGGTGTCAAGCAGAAGGCCTCAATTTCTTGTGCCCTGACATAACTTTAAAATCCCTCCTGCCCCCCTTGGAAGAGAGTTTGACTTTTATCACTAGCAGTGACTCCCCACAGCACTGATAGTAATGGCACATAGTAGGCCCTTATTGATGGCTAACTTTTATTGAGCATTTACTATGTGCCAAGCATCAGATGAAACACTTTATATGCATTCTCTCATTCAATCTCATAACAAACACAGAAGGAAGTCACTGTTACACCCTGTCTCCCACCCCACTAGGCCCCCATTTTAAGGAAAGAAAACTGAGGTTTAGAGAAGCCAGTAATTTGTCCAAAACCACATAGCTAAGTGATATTTAAATCATCAGCATCCTTGAAGCTACCAGGAAACCCTTTTGAAGGTTAATTCCATGCTCAGGAAATAGAGACTGTGTGGTCATAGCTAAGCAAGCAGGAGCAGGCCTGGGCAGAGGGGAGCAAAGGCTGTGTTGGTTAGTCACCCATCTGGGGACTTTGTCGTTCAGTCGACCACGTGGTGCCTGAGCCCGAGTCCAGCCTGACTGAGGCCTATGAGAAGTGGCGTGAGTGGGCTGATGGGAAGAGCTGTTGTGACTATGCCCTGCACGTGGACATCACCCACTGGAATGACAGCGTCAAGCAGGAGGTGCAGAGCCTCATCAAGGACAAAGGTGAGCCTGAGCATGCCCTGCTCCCTCCCCTCATGGCCCCTCCTTGCCTGGCCCTCCCCCACCCATCCACTCTTTTGAGGCACTTTGTTTAGGCAGTCTTACTCCTTATAGGATTTGCACGAGACAGGTTGTTATTATTCCCACTTTGCAGATGGAGAAACTGAGGCTCAGAATAAGTTGCCCAGGATCATGGAGTTAGTAAGCAGTAGATCTATTCAAAGTCTATGCTCTTCACCTCCACACAATACTGCCCATTTTATAGAGGAACAACCTGAGGTTAGGAAAGGTTAACTTATCTAACATAGGGTCACATGGCTAGTAAATATGAGATTAGGGATTTTTAACCCCTATCATTTCTACTCCAGAGATCAAACCATTACTAGTACATAACAATGACATCCTTGGAAAATGCTAAGACATTTCTGAGAGCAAGGATATGTTGGTATTCAGGCTAGGAGCCTAGAGCATGAAAACATGTTTGTGTGTATGTGTGTGTGTGTGGTGTGTGTGTGTGTGTGTGCGCGCGTGCGCGCGCCCTCTCAGTGAGTACGTGATTTAAGTTCCAGTGACTTCTTAGATTCCTCTGTTCTCTGCTGCTTTCTCATTTTGATCATTAGATACTTCACCACACCCTCTCCCCACTACCATATATGCACACATGCATGCAGCATGCAACGTGCTCACCCTTGTAAGGTGGCCTGGGGGGCTGGGGGAGTGTAAGTAATGGCTTTTGCTGAGCACGCAGGGTGAAAGGAAGCAGGTCCATGAAGAGCAGCAGTAAAAATGCCACAGATGCAAGAGCTGTTGTCACATGGGCAGTCTAGACACAACAGCTAGGAGTTCAGAGGAAGAGAGCGTGCCCTGGGTCTGAGGGGAAAGGATGGCCATTCAGGATGAGTTGTTCTGTCCATCCACCTCCTTACCTAAAAAGTCCTGCCCCATCCTTGGTGACACAGAATGTGAGATCAACCCCCTCCCTTCTTTCTGCATCTCCTTTCACACCGTGTATCTCAGCTGGGGTAGAAAAGTGAATGGCTTTAACACCCGCTTCCCTACCAAATGGCCGTGTCATTCCACGGATGACGCAGAGGCTTTGGGGAAGGGTAGTTTTGGGAAAAACTGCCCTGAGTTGAACCACTCTGGGTAGGGAAGTTCTAAAATTACAACCCGGTTTTGGCCTGGAACACTGCGGGCTGAGATGGCCCTCATGGTTGGAGACCAAAATTATTCTCCTTGCCTCAAAGTGATTCTGTTCCCCAGTCCCACCTATTTCTGTAAATCGCTACATTAATAGTTTCTTTTGGGTGAAAATTAAATAGCTCTTTCTTTATAACTCTTACAACTTAGATACTTAAGCACAAGGGGAAGCTTGCTTTCCACCCATTAGCTCTGTTCGTTCCCCAGGGCAGAGTCTGTATCTTAGTTCTCTCAGATCCAACAGCCTGCACAGGTCTAATGTAGAGCAGGCATCCATCAAATAGCGCAGTAAGCTGATCCCAGGAATTACATTAATAGAGACTGAATATGTTCCAGGCCTGGCGCTAAGAGCTCTGTGTTATCCCCTTTAAATGTTCACAGCCACCTTATGAAGTAGGTATTGTTATTTTTCCATTTTACAAGTGAGAAAACCAAGGCCCAGCAAGGTTAAGTATTCCCAGCTCACTGAACTAGTGTCTGGTGGATTCCAGCTGGTGCCACCCCCAGTTTGTAAACACAAATAGTGTGCTAGAATGAATCTTGATGACAGCTACTGCCTGGAGCAATATTGAAATGTATTGGCCTTCTGGGCTGGGGAGTACTAGGAGCTGGGGGAAGTGAAGAACTGCAGAAGAGATGCTTCTGCTCTGATGTCACTTAAGGATTGTTGATTTTGCAGGGTGGGGGTTGGCATAGTAAAATGCTGTTAGAGAATGTGACGTATCTGCTTTATATTAGACAGGAGCCTGGGTAATGTACTAGGGTCCCATGGGCGCTAGTAGTGGGAACAAAGGATGGAGGGTGGTCGTGATGATGTTGTCTTTCTCCTGTTTTTCCTCTCTTCCCTTTCTTGCAGGGGTTAACTCCTTCATGGTTTACATGGCCTATAAGGATTTGTATCAAGTGTCCAACACAGAGGTAACAACCCATTTGCTGTGTGGTTTGGGTTTCCTATTGTTGATGATGACCTTGGCCCTTGTAACATGAGTCACTGTGGCCACTGTGGGAGACCGCTGGACCAGAGTGCCTCTTGAAGTCCTGCAGTCCATGCCACATTTTAAATAAAGTAACGGGCATGGTGCCCATGGCATGGCAGACAGGGAGCTAGAATTTCCACTGGCAGTAGCTTTCTCAAAAGAGTAAGAGGACGGGCATGCCTAAATCTCCATCTACCCAACAAGCTCCAAGCACCTTATAAGCTCAGTGAAAGTGTGATGTTCACCACCCTGCAGGATCAGGAGGGCCTTCTGCTATTTGGAGTAATCGGCTTGTCCTGACTCTCTCCTTATGAAATTCATGGCATGTGTCTGTTTTAGACAAATGTCAAGTTTTCAGAAGAAATACAAGAAATTAACTCCCATACCTCCTGGTTAGGAGGTAAAGATAGTTCTACCTTGAGAGGTTAAGATATAGGGATGTTAGCTTTTGTGCTAGCTTCTGGCTGGACTGCAGTGGCTTTCTGGAACACTTGTTGAGAAGGATTCTGAAACTCTGTCTCAGCTCAATGAGAAGTAATTCCGTTAAAAATGTGTGTCAGAGGCAGAAAAAAGGGGTTGGTAGCACTTTGTTATTTATTTGTCCTATCTGCCTACGAGATGTGATAGGTTCTTTAAACAGTTTCTTTGGACTTACACTTCTCTTTAGTTTTTCGTCTTTTAGTACATATTTCTGTCCTAGTCACTCATTTCTTCTGGTTTATCCTAACTTATTTCAGCTCTGGCTCTAGTAATTGGCCCTTGTGTAAGGTAGCTAAAAGTGGCTTTCAACACTGACAGAGACTCATTTCTATTTCAGCTCTACGAGATCTTCACCTGCCTGGGAGAGCTGGGGGCGATCGCTCAAGTTCATGCTGAGAATGGGGATATCATTGCCCAGGTATCACTGTGCAGCGTGCTGAAGTGTGCTTTCTGCGGGACTGGGGTCTGCATCCCATCTGTTCTCTCTTTTCTTTGGTGTTGCTTGAGCTCTCAGTATATGCAAGGCACCATCATAAATACTCTGCTAAAGATAGAATCTGCCCTAAAGAACCTCACAGTCCAGGTGGAGGGAAAAAGAGGGGAGAATGTAGACTAGTAAGGAGAAACTAGAAAATGCTGTAAGACAGGAAAAGGTCTGGCCTTTCTGGAGAATCAAAAAAGGCATCCTGGAAGAATAGGTTTTCAAATTGGGCTGTTAAATGCGACAGCATTCCTGATTCTCTTCTGAAAATGAGGCAAAAGCTACGTGACATTCTCTGTCCTAAAGAAAAATCCTAAGGCAGCATTTCTCAGAAGCCAGAGAGCTGATCCAGCTCTGTGGAACTCATGGCCTTAGATAATAAAGAGCTTAGGTCTAGTGGGGATTAGATGTCCCACTGGTTTCCTAGAAATCTTATTGGGAAACTAGAGGAAAGAGTGATGAAAGTGCGGGCCCCAAGGCCCAGACTGATCATTTGTGAGGAAGCAGAAAGCAATTCTGTCTCCATCTCCCAGGCTGCTTACTGGAATAGATGCCCAGATGTGACTTAGGAAGGGTTTTGTTTATCTCAAAAGCTTTCAGGATTGGCCGCAGCCAGGAGGAAACAGCCAGGAAAAAAGAGTGAGCTTTCTTAGTGCATTTGAGAGCATTAGCAACAAGAATCATTATTCATTCTCTCAGAGTATTTCCCGAGCACTCTGTGCCAGTCACTGGGCTATCGAGGTGAGCCTAAGCAGATGCACCCCATGGCTCACAAGGGCTTAGCCTTCATTTCACAAGTTGTCCAGAACTTGGTGAATGTGGTCAGCAGGGGCGTGAGATCAGTGCAGAGCCCGGCCCTCACCTCGGACCCATTAGCTTCCCAGTAGCAGTGCCATCTGGTGAGTGCTTACTGCTCTGTGCCAGGCGTCTTCTCCCAACCCTTTATAGATGCTCCCTGCTTTATAGATGAGAACATTGAGGCTCAGAAGGATTAGGTCACTGGCCGAAGGATCACAGCAAATAACTGGGAGAAGCAAGTCTTAGCCCCTCAGGTGATGTGCCTCAGTGGGCATTTTACCCAGAGATGCTGGGCTGGGGTCCCTTGCTCCCCAAGCCCAGCTGCAGGCCTCCAGGGAGGTAGTGCCCCAGCAGAGCAGGGCTCCAGCTATTGCAATTTCAGACTCTGAGTGTTGTCTCGCTAGTGGAGGAGTGAACTATGAAGTTTCCTGCACTTATGACCAAGGAGCCTAATTAGTCAGGCCCTGATGGCGCCTTCCCAGGTGCCCACGCACCCAGAGCTAATGAAATCATTTTCCACAGAGGGCCCAAAGGCCTTGCTCCCATGGGAGGCTCCCCCAGGGTGTTAGAACTGTCACTCCTCCCCCTTCTCCAGGTGTTCAGTGCAGCAGCCGGAGGTACCAGCCCTCCCTTCACCTGCCCTAGAAACCAAGCACCTGTTGCTTCATTCTTGTGCCTGTGCAGCAAACGGACTCCAGCTCAAAGCCCCTTTCTCAGCCTTTCCTCCTGCAATTCCTCAGCCCAGAAGTTTCTCTGCCTCTCCTCTCCCTACAGCTTTCCCTACTTTGGGAAGATCTTTTCTCAGTCAGGAAAACTCAGTCAGGGAAAGAATAAGGACATTTTTCCATTTGGATGACTTTCTTGTATTTATTAAATCCAACTTGAGCTGAAAGATTTTGTCACATTATCTAAATGAAGGCAGCTGTTGTCCTCTGAGTTTCTTACTGCACTTAGGCAAAGTGACTAAAAGAGTGAGAAGAATTCTTTTGGGTAAAAACAAGGGTGATTTTTCAAAAATTTCAAGTTAGCAAGACAGTCTGAAAGTACAGCATCTTTGGCCATTCATTTAATAAATATTTATTGGGCACCTATTACGTGCCAAGACTTGGAGAGTGAAAATGACAGAGACAGCGTCCCTTTCTTGTGGAGCAAGCTGCAGTAGTGCCATGATCCAAACTGTGATGTGATTACAGCTGTGATGTGTGCTCCCCCCATGTAAGGTAGCTCCAAAGGGTCTTTACATGCCCCTCCTCATCTTCAGTCTGTAGGGACACCTTGACTTTTAGAATAGGACTTCTCAACATGAGCAGCGCATCAGAATCACCGGAGTTTCCTAATTCCAGAGATTCTGACTCGGTCGGTCAGTAGTAGAGTTCAGGCAAATGTATTTTGAAAACGTTCCTCTGGTGATTTGAATATCTTTGGAACCTCCTGATTGATCTAGCTTCATTCTGTGCATTCTCCTAGCATACTTGAATAACATAGGAGTGAGAGCGTCATAAGACAGAAAACACATTAGTTGGAGACTTAATTAACCCTTGTGTGACCTGAGGCAATTCAGAAAGGAAACTCACTAGAGTTTGGGAGAAATTTTATTCAGTCCAACTTTCAATAAATGAGAAAAGTAGGAATGAAAATTGGAGGTGCTTTGCTGGAAAAATCTGACCTTTTTTTGAATCCTGTAGAGCTGGAGATAGTGACCATTTTACTAATTGTGTTTGCTTATAGTACATGCATTTTCCTTTCTACTCCTCTTTTAGAAATTTGTGTTGTTAAAAACAAACAAAAAAAGGTTCTTCTTTTCCAGGTGGTAATAATCCTTTCCTTTTTAAGCATCTTATAGTTTCAAAGTGAGACAAGACTTTGTTCCATTCACCGTCTCCCCTGCATCTTCCGTATTACTAGAATACTCCCAGGCCCCTAGGCCGGGCTGGCTGGTGCAGAGGTTCATAGGAACTAGCTTAGAAATTTGAGAGTGAATGCCAGCAAAGCTGCAGATAGGGAGGTTTAGGATCTCTGCCAGTGTCAATTAGTCCATGTGTGTTCACCGCCCAGCCACCTGCCTCTTCCCAAAGCTGGCCAGAAGTCTAGGGAATTTAGCCATCAGCCATGAGGGGCAGGTAGTTCTCCTGCCGTGTGCACAACTTGGCTAACTAGAATTTTATCAAAACGCTAACTCAGGTAATGCTGTTTGTCTGGTTAAATTCTGAATCCATTCATTTAGGACACAGATTTAAAGTATAAAAAACCCCATGGAGAGTTATTAAAATGTAGATGACTAGGATTCAATCTCACATCTTTCGATTTAGTAAGTTAGGACAGGGCCAGAAATCTGTGTTTTTACAAAAGCAGCTCAGGTGATTCTGATGTCAGTGGTGTGTGGACCATACCTGGGGAAACATAGCACTAAACTGTAAGCTCCATGAAGTCAGGGGCCACATTGCTTCAATTCAAGTACTTAACCTGGAGACTAGCATGAAACAGTTTGTTGAATAAATGGGTTTAAATTGCATAAATGAATAAAAAAATGGGTTAAGCAAGTATATTTTCAGAGGCAGCTGGGTCTGAGAGACGAAGAAGCAAGCTGGTGTAATTTTGGATGTGTAGTGTAGACACAAAATGGGTACTCGAACAGACTGTCTTCCTTGTAATAAGAGCAAGCCACCCTTAGTTTTTCCCCTCCTTTTAGTTAAGACTCAACCCTGTATTGTAACTCCAAATATGGAATGAATACATTTGTTCAACATACACATTTTATTCTTTTTTTCCCTTGAGCACATCTGTAGATGAGAACATAGCAGTGTAATTTTTCCAAATCTCAGTTGAGCTCATCTAAGAGCTCACCATGGACATCAGGTGTTTTCTATTCTTTATCATTCTAGGAGCAAACCAGGATGTTGGAAATGGGGATAACTGGTCCAGAAGGCCACGTACTGAGCAGACCAGAGGAGGTGAGTTGTAGGGGCAGGAGGTGGGGGATGGGGTAGGGAGAGGAAGCAGTAGCGGTGGGGGCTTTTTTTTTGAACCAGCATATCCTGCCGCTCCTTTCACATTTGGAGGGTTTGTGTTTGGCTTACCTTCCCGAGGCACATGTGCACGCAATGTATGATTAAACATCGCTGAAAGGTGTGAGCATCTGGGAATACCAGATAGCACTATTGAAACATTTCTTTCAAAGACCACTTCTGACTGACCCTAGCTCAAGGACCCGTGAGAAAACGAGAAAGGAATGTAAGGGAGATGCCTTCCTCTGACCCCTAATCTCTCTAAAGATAACACAAGTTGGAATGTACTTCACGGTTATTCAGTAGGAGTGTTAAATTCTAATTCCTTTCTTAATCGGTGTGAATCTTGGAGACATTTCCACTTACTCCCTTATTTCATATTATGTTCTGAGTCCTGCAAAATATTGGCCATATAGATGGGAGGCTGAATGGGATTTTACAGGCATTATGCCCATCGATCCAGATATGTATGTGTCAAGCTAGGGCTTAGAGTTCACAGACCCCTCAAGCCCGTTGTACAGACTGGGTCCCAAACCCTTCACACACAGGTCCACGAGCTAGGTAATAGGAAAATACCCTGGGAGCCGTGGGTAAAAAATTAATAGGCTTTATTCAGAGCTAGGAGCAGCCGCCCTAGTGACCTCCTGGAGCATCCAGAGAAGCAGGCAGGTGGTGTGTATCAGAGCTGTTAGTCCTTTATACTTAAGTCCATAACCCAGGACACCTGGGTGCCCATACGCAATAACATTAGCTAAGAACCAAGGAATACCTGGGTGTGCATGGACATTTACATCATATGCTCGGCAAGATTCTGAACATCTAAGGGTCCCTGACCATTTTCCTATATTTTCCCAACAGTGGGGAAGTTTCCCATGTGTAGAATGAATGATGATTTGTGTCTATACTTAGTAGTTAAAGAGTGACTAAAGGTGACTAGTGGCTGATTCCATGTCTCTGGGATGTTAGCAACTTCTCCTGCTGGCACTGGTCACAGGGCTGGTAATTGGCTGCCCATATGGCTGAGAGCAAGCCTGAACCTAGCACCTGGAGCGAATTCAAGGCCTTCCATGTCAGTGAAGCGAATCCTGTTCCTCTCCGGTCTTTCCAAACTCCACAACAGATAGGAGTCAGAACCAAAAATAATTGCAGTCCCATTGCCTATCTCTTTTAGAGTCTTATTAAAAATTAAAATGTAACACACATAAAGTTTCTATCATAAGGATACAATGAATTTTCACAAACTGAATACACTTGTTTAACTAGCACCCTGCTGCAGAAACAGAACATTATTAACACCCTAGAAACTCCTTTGTGTCTAATGATTTTTTTGTTGACATTAGAAATAATTTATAATTTTGTGATTGGGGTTCCAGTTACACACAGCATTCCTGAGAAGTCTCCTTAATAATACCAGGTCTCTTCTATGGAATGCTTACACTGGTAATTGCATGCATTATCTCAGTGATCCTTGCCACTGCTCCAGATGGTTAGCATTATTGCACAGATAAAGAAGCTGAAGCTCGAGGAGGTTAAGCCACTGGCCACTCCTGTTTGAAGGATTGGACAATCATTTACACAGTGTGAGCAGGCCAGGACAATCAGCACTGTTTGTGAAACTTTTCTTAAATGCTGGTCACTGAAGAGATGTGCTGGCAAGATAGATTCCTTCAGAAGCAGCCAGGGGATTTCAGAACAAAGTCTATTTTTGTTCCTTGGTTTGTTTTTTCAACCCCCCCCCCTTCAACCCCAACACCCCACCCTCCTCCCTGTTCCCGTCTCCTTTTTAGTAAAAAAAAGCCTCTCAGCTGCAAATCTCTACAGCCCTGGAAGCCCTTTAGGGTGAAGATGGAGGGTGATGTAACCTTCCAAAGATAGTCATGTTGTCAAAGTGCTGAAGAACCTGCAGTGCTGGGAGAGGATGAGATCAAAGGGGCCAGGACTGAGGTCATGGGGAACTGACGGGGTCAACATAGGTTTGAAGGCAGAGGAATGAGCACAGGGAGCCAGCCCCTCTTCAGTTCAGAGCACACCCAGACACCATCTCAAGTGATGCTGTTCAGAGAGCTGGAACCAGCCCGAGGCACAGAGGCAGCCCCGAGTATGGAAGTCTGGGTGCTTCTGGGAGGTGTCTGCCTTCACCTGTGGTCAGGGGCCTCCAGGGCCTCATTCTCATGGAACAAAGTGCAGCCTGGGGGCCGCCAGCTCAGCCGGCCAAGTTCTTAGTGCTTGTCTGCTGAGCCTCACCCACCATAGGCAGTAATGGTTTGCATCATAGAACTGTTGGGCATCTGCAAGCTATTTTTGGTATTTTTTTAAAGTGTTGGGCTGCACAGGCTAACCGGAATGTCATATCCATACAAAAAGGAACTGTTGCTGATTGAATGGAAAAATGCCAGTGTCTCTGCTTTGGGCTGAATTAGACTAACTCAGGCTTTGGGCAGTTAACACAGACTCTCAACTGGTTAGAAACTGTGATCAGTAGTCAGACCAATAGCCTCCCTTCAAAGGACACTGACCTTGTGCCAGGAGTGGGGTAACTGCATTACAAGGATTAACTCATTTAATCCTCACAACAGCCCTCAGTGTCAGGCGCTATTGTGATCCCCACTTTACAGACAAGGAAAATGAGGTTTTTGGGAGGTTGTGGAATGTACCTGAGGTCACCCAGCTTGTAAGTGGTAGAACCAGAACTCAGACCCAGGCCATCTGAGAGAGCCTGAGCTCTCAGACCCTACTTTGTTAATAAAATAAGGGAAAACTCATTACTTCTTACTTAATAACTACAACTGAGTTGGCTAGCATATTTGAAAACATGAATTCTACATTAGGGTGGGATGGAAGAGATCAATAATAAAAGAAGTCTTTGTGCTGAAAAGCCTGGGAATTATTTGTATAAGAAATGCTTCCAAGAATTAACCCTTTGCTGACCACCCATTGCTGCAGGAAAGGATTTGAGGGACCACGGTGCCTTTTAGACATAATGGTGTTGGAGTTGTGTTTTTGCAGAGAATCTGTCCTGAGAAGATTGGGGGGCAAAGACTTGTATTCAAAGATGTAGCCTTTGTGTTAACTACAAGGAAAGGAGAAAGCAGACTAAGGGAACATTCTAGCTAACATTGGTTAAGTACTTACTCAGTGCCAGGCATTGCTCTCAGACCACAAGCCTATGCTAGCCTTTTCTTACCTCCATTTTGCAGGTGAGGGATGGAGGCACTGAGAAGCTAAGCAAAGTGGCACAGCTAGGAAGTGGTAGATCTGAGATGCGGATCCAGGTTGTCTCATTCCAGATCCTCCTAGGCTTCTTAACTGTGATCAGCTCTGCCTTCTCCCAGTTGTGGGGGAAGGGGAGGGTGGTGGATGGAGTGGCAACTTTGAGAGACTCGTGTTCGTATTGATTCCTGGGGACCTCTTTTTGCAGCTGGAAGCTGAGGCTGTGTTCCGTGCCATCACCATTGCCAGCCAAACCAACTGCCCTCTCTACATCACGAAGGTCATGAGCAAGAGCGCAGCTGACCTCATCTCACAAGCCAGGAAAAAAGGTGATTTGTGCTCCCAAGCTCTCAGAGTCCCTGACACACTGTGTGACTTCTTCCGTTCCTGGTCCTCCTGTATAATATAAATGGGGCCTGTCTCACTCATTGCCTCGCACCCTCTCTGTAGCCTGTGTGGATGGCAGGATGGCCACTTCGCATGTAAGCAGACTGAGGCTCAGGAAGGTTAAGTAGTTTGCCCAAGATAGCACAGCTTGAATCAGTTCTTCTGCAACCCAGTGTACCTTCTTCCCCACTCTGATCTTAAATTTTCAGTTCACACTATCTAAGTTTTACGAATTATTTAAGATTGTCTTGGGTGCAAAAGCCAAAGGTTCAGCTCAAACTGGCTTCAACAAACAAACAAACTAAAGTAAATGATTGGTTGTAGGTGTTTCAGGCATGGCCATAGGGAGGGGTTTCAACCATGGTCTTAGGGCTCTATTACTTTTATTCCTTTCTTGGCTCTTTTCTCTCCATTGGCTTTATGTTCAGGATGAACCTAAACAAGAATAGATGCCAGGAGCCACCTGTTGTCCTCTGTTCTTGGTGGAGGGTGATGTGGAGGTAGAAGACGTCTTTTCCAGCAACTCAAGCAAGAGTCCCCACCAACACTGTGATTATCTTTGGCGCGGGTCATGTGCTCACCCCTGGACAACAGCTGTCCTGGGGATGGTAGAATCTGGCCAGGATGGAGGGCAGAATGCAGGGGTGGGTCACATCACTAGAGCCATACAGCTTAGCCAAGTTATTTTAGAAAAGGGGTTGAATGGGGCTCCAAAGCATGTCTTCCACCATGGCCTTCAGGACACAGGGCCCTGTCCCTGCTGCCTTCTGACTTCTGCCTGTTTTCTCCACTGCTGTTACTTTGGGCTTCATCGGCTTGTCTTGTGCTTCGCTAAAGTTTGCTCCCATTTCAAAGCTTTTTCTGCACGGCCCTGTGCCTGGTTGTGAGAGAGGATGTACTGGGCTTGGTTGTGTGATCACTACCACTGTGTGCTCATACCCATTCTGGCAGTAGACAGGTCCACGATGAATGATTCATCTACCAAAATGGTCTGTAAAACTCTGTGTGGGTGACTGCGGTGGCTAAAAATAGTCCCAGTTGACTGACAGCTGAGTCTTTAGCTCCCTGGCTTTCTGGCAAAAAAAACAACCCTTTTCTTGTGGGAGGAGAACCTTCCTAATTGTCTAGACAGTCTTCCTAGCTGGCAGGTTCTGGGGCATCTCCTGCCTTATTGTGTTCACAGTAAGCCTGCTGTTTTCTCTCTCAACTTTAAATGTTTCAAGTGACATGGTGTAGTTGCTCCGCTGGGTGTGAGTCATTGGATGATAACCAGGAAAGCAGCCCAATGTTCCTTACCCATCCTTGGAGAAAGGCAAAAAAGAAAGAAAGAAAGAAAAGAAAACTGTGTGGGGACACCACTCCCCTGCCACACACCCCTCTTCCCACAGCCACCCTCCCACCCTCTGTGGACTGCTCCACTCTGTCTGGGACACATTCTCAAGGTGACCTGGGGGCCCCTGAGGAGAGGGTGTTTTGGTTTTATGCTGGTCTTATTTCAGACTTCATGGAGAAACATTCCTCACCCTTAGCCTTCTGGCTTATGGTTCTCTGGCAAGGAGAACTAGCACAGCTGTGTCTCCAGGGTGGAAGGGAGGTATTATTTCAGTGATGAAAAACTGGCTGCTGAGATGGAAGCCAGTAAACATCTCAGGGGCTGTCATTCTCAGGGAAAGAGTCGAGAGCAGGGTTTACTCTTCCCTCCTGACCAGCTTACTCTTTAAGTCCCAATGTGGTTTCATCACCAATCACCAGTGCTCTGTAATAATTCTGCACGGCTGCTTGCAGTTAATATTAGAAAGCTACAGTTTACTGAGGACCAACTACATGCTCAGGACTAAGGTAAATACTTCAAATTTATTACCATGTAGAATTCTCAAGAAATAGGCATTATTATCACCCTTTTTCAGATGAAGAAACCGAAGCCCAACTTGTCCAGATCTCCCAGCTGGGAGAGCTGGTATTCAAACCCAGGTAGAATTACAGTTTTTGCTTATTCTACTCTCCATGCTAAAGATAGTCCACAGGGAAAGTTTTTCCACATCTAAGGTTGTATTTCTCTTAGTAGTTAAGTGCTTGCCTTGACTCTCATGTCTTTCTTTGTGGTCCTTTATATGTTAGTTCAGTAAATATTTTTGGACAGCTCTTAAAATTCTCATCAATAATGTGGATCCTTTCTACTGCCATCCCTAAAAGCCTGGCTGTCATATGTGAGTCACTGCCATGGCTTCCTTCTTTTCCCATGGCAGACATTACTAATCATGAGTCTTTTCTAGTGAGAACATAGCATTATTAGAATTCTTCCCTACACTGAATTCTAGGCAACCATTATCAATTGATTGGAGTTGAAACAAGGCAAAACCTATTTAAAATGCTGGCCATAGAGCCTTGTAGATTGCTACCTTGTGTGAAACTCTGACTGGAAGACAGAAGACCAAACTAAGAAGCCCAGGGATGTACAGGGCATCTTTGACCCAAGGTTATGTCATCGAGAACTTAGTACCAGCCAACTTTCTATGAGATAGCATTTGCCTTCTGTGTCACTATCTCTTCTTTGAGAAGCTCAACAAAACCTCAGATCAGTGTATTTTCCAATATCCTTTCTCCCCTCTTCATGGTTTGGGCAGTTAAGCCCGTAATTTCTGACACAGAATCCAAGAAGCTAGTCTCATCTTTAATGAGTCCGAGGTTGTTGAGTGTCTTTGAGCAAATCACTCCTGCCCTGAAATTGAGGAGTAACAAACATGATGAAAAAAATCATGAGAGCCTCTGATTCACAGGAATGGATTTTATTTTGTGGAACAAAAGCATGTCTTTGTAACAGGAGGATCTAGCAATCCCCAGTGGTGTGGGCACATTTGGGGCTTTGAACCCCTATAATGGAAAGAGTAGGAGGTAAAGAAACCAAAATTCACTGAGCATTTACTGTGTACCAGACTCCTCACATATGCCAAATCCTTTCATTTTACAAACCTGAGAAGTAGGTGCCATCGTGGTCCATCAAATCTAAGACTATATATTTCACATTTTAATATTTTGAAATGAAGATGAGTCTTGTAATCAATATATATTTTTCTCTTATTTTCTTTTGCCTCAGGCTGGCCAGTTAGCTCAGCTGGTTAGAATGTGGTGCTGATAATACCAAGGTTCAAGTTGTGATCTCTGTACTGGCCAGCTGCTCCCCCGAATCCCCCTCTCCCCAAAAGAAGCAAAAAACCAAGAAAAGTAGAAGGAAATTGTAAAGAGCTGAAATTAGAGAATTAACACTGCATCTTACAACAAATGGCTTCTTCTAACCTAGAGAATACAAAATCATTCATGTTTAGCAGATACAAAAGCAGAGGCCTAGGAAAGGCAGAAGTATGGACTTGGACCTAGCTCTGCCTGACTCCGGAGCCACAGCCTTGGGTAGGCTTTGGAGCTATGATTAAATAGGCAGGCCCAGTGCACACACGCTTCATGCAAACCCAATGCCTATTTCCTACCCCTTCCAGGAAATGTGGTCTTTGGTGAGCCCATTACTGCCAGCCTCGGCATAGATGGAACCCATTACTGGAGCAAGAACTGGGCCAAGGCAGCTGCATTTGTGACATCCCCACCTCTGAGCCCTGACCCGACCACTCCAGACTACATCAACTCCTTGCTGGCCAGGTTGGTGAAGGAATGGTATGCAGCAGGTGTTTTGTGGAAACATCTTAGGGCCAGCTGGAATGAGGACTAGAGCAGTCCCATCCATCAGCAAGTCTAGAGTCTGCAGTGCAAAAAACACTTTGGGAATCCTGCAGTCTCAAGCACAGAAAACTAAACAATCATACAGTAGTGATATTAATAATGATAATGGCAGTTAATACCTATTACATGCCAAGCCCTATGGTGAGACGACATGCGTGATCCCGTTTGTTCCTCATAATAACAACTCTGAGATTGAGGTACTATTACCACCATTTTACAGATTAAGTAATCAAGGGTCAGAGAGGCTAAATCATTTGCCTAAGTTCAAAAAACTGGTCATGATGACACCTAACCAAAATCACTGGGAGACTCGTTTGTTGCTGCCCTCTGTGGACATGCAGGATCATGTCATCATTCATTTGAGTCACTTTTATTTTACTACAGAAGAGATGATCTGATTCCACCTGCTCACTTTCCAAATGGGGGAACTGAGCCCAGAGAGGGGAAGACATTCACCCAAGCTCACACAGCTAGTAGGAGGTAGAAGAGGGCTTCCAAACTCAAGTAGTCAGACTCCAAACCCTCACACTAGACACCGTGTGTTCCCGTGTGCCTCGGGCCAGCTCTCCTGTTCATGTGGAGCTTTTCTCCTTCACCAGCGGGGATCTGCAGCTCTCTGGAAGTGCCCACTGCACCTTCAGCACTGCCCAGAAAGCAATTGGGAAGGACAACTTCACAGCCATTCCCGAGGGCACCAATGGAGTGGAGGAGCGGATGTCTGTCATCTGGGACAAGGCTGTGGTAAGGGATTGATTCATGGAGGGTGGTCAGGGCCAGAATGTCCATGGGCCAGATCAGAGCCTCCTGCCACCAACCAAGACAGTGGCACTGCTCTGTGCCACCCTGGTGTGGATGCTCAGGGTGCAGAGGAGGTTTCATACCTGCTGAGATGTCTCTGGAACCAAAAGGCTCAGGTGGCTTAGAAACTTACCTTCTGGAATGATGAATCCAGAGGCTGAGGATTCTGAGGAGGCCTCCTTATCTAAACTGTTCAGGACTAAGAACCAGACATATACTCCTTCATCTGATTGTGTGAATGCTATGTACTTCAAATAATAGTGAATTAATTATTTTTATTTGGAGAGTTTTATGGCTTCTTTTGAAGGGGCTGGATATACCCTTTGAAATGATAAGCAACGAGTCTGTCCTATTCTAAAGTCATCTTGCTCCTCAAGGATGCTATGAGTGTGTGGTCATCCAGGCTATCCAAGTGATTATCTATCAGTGTCTTTTGGCCAAGTGTCTTGATTGTATTTTCCTTGTAGACATCACAAGGGCTGACAAAAGAAATAGCCATGCAAATGAAAACCCTCCCAAAGGTTTTATTAAAATTAATAATTAACTCATTATTAAGTTGATTACTTCCATATGTTTTATTTTAAAAACCCTAAAGACATTTATATCAGAGCCAAATAGAATGTGTATGAACTAATCCCTCAGTCATCTACAGTGTAATCCACTGAGTTTCCCTTTTCTTCTTGGCTCCCAGGAAACTGAATGCTAAGTTCAAAACACAATTCTTAGGCATTTTGTTTGGAGAAGATGGAAAGTATAACTGTTTTTGTCTCTTCTCTCACATGGTTAGCTTTTGTCTTACTTTCTTACACTGCTCTGCATTTACGAATATATGTATGTATTTGTCCTGGCACTATCTGAAATTATTAAAAAATATATAATTTTTAAAATTTCTAACAGAAATGCTTACAAAGAACTACTTGGAAACCACAGACAAGAACACACATGAAAGAAAACAAAAATATGTCATAATTCCACAGCCCAGAAATAACCATTGTTATCATTTGGGTGAGATTCTTCCATATTTATCTTATGCATGTACAAATACAAACATATATCAAAAGAATGGGATCATGATCCCATTTGTTTTTTACTGGGAACTCTAATCTTTTTTGGAAGTAGAAGGAGTAAATCAGCAAGTGTATGTACATATCCAGAAAAAAATGCATACTTCAGGAGCAGTAACTTCCCTCTTAAACCATGCATTTATCCATTTTGCCTGAATAGCCATGACAGCCCAGCCGGTTCTCTAGCTCGCTGGGTGAGGTTCTGTGTCCACCACCTCGGAGGTCCCTCTTTGTATTTCTGGGCCTCTGTGGTCATCGTCCTCTGAGTTCAGAAGCCTGGCATAGATATAGATAGATGTAGATATACATACAGATGCATAGATACAATTTTTTGTATTTCAATAGGCCACAGGGAAAATGGACGAAAACCAGTTTGTGGCCGTGACAAGCACAAACGCTGCCAAGATCTTCAACCTGTATCCCCGCAAGGGAAGAATATCTGTGGGTTCCGACAGCGACCTGGTCATCTGGGATCCAGATGCTGTGAAGATCGTCTCTGCCAAGAACCACCAGTCTGTAAGGCTTGATCCTGCAAGGGTGGCGTAAAATGGAGACTGCATGCAAGGAGTTTGGTCAGGAGAAGTGGGTTCATGTGGTGTACCAGGGCAGGCAGACGAGGGTGGGTTGCAATAACAGTCCGTCCCCGAATTTCAGTGGCTGAAAACCTCCACTGTTTATTTCTCACTCCCACTTTCCAAAGCTGGGTCAGCAGAAGGGCTCTGCCCATCCCAGTCACTCAGGGACGGAGGGTGATAGCGGCTCCCCTTCCACAGACGCTTCCATGATTGCTGAGGCAGGGAACAGGACGTGGCAAATGGTGCACTGGCTCTGAAAGTGTTCCCATTGAAAGGGCATATGTCACACTGCACTGGCCAGAGCCAGACCTGTGTCTGCACCTAATTGCAGGAAGGCGGGAAATACAAGACCTTGTGCCTGGAAGGAGAAAAAATGGGAAATAATTGGTGAACAGCACTGATGACTTTCTCATGAAGAATTTCATGTGGAAGATCATAATTAAAGCCCAGTATCTGACAAAAAAGTGTTTAATACTTACTAGTGAAGCTAGTGAGTATTTTTTAAGCACTTATGTTTCAGGCACTGTGCTTTTCATTCACTGAATCTCCTTAATGGTCTTCCACTATTAAAATAGTAGATACTATTAATATCCCCATTTTATAGATAAGGAAATGGAGGCACAGAGAAATGAAATAATATACACAGCAAATAAGTGGTAAAGATAGCATTCAAACCCACACAACCTGTCTCCAAACTGATGTTCTTAACTGCTTGGCAGTAATGCCTCTCACTTGTTGAATAAACGGAGAGGTAGGTAGAAATCCCATTTTGGGTGGTTATGGCTTATGCTTAAACACTGTGTCATATTATTTAATTTCAAGCTGATAGAGACCTAAGGGCCTTGTAACCCCTCTGCCCACACACTCAATACAAGACTGCCGCGTACAACATCCCTGATGGTTATCCAGCTTCTCTTTGAACATTACCAGTGACAAACATTGACTGCCACTTGAGGACCTTGATAAAGATTGGGCCCTTCTTTTTGCCAGGAAGTCCAGTCTTTACTTAGCAAGTGTCTGTCTCCTGGTGCCTTCCACCCCTAAAAGCTGCCAGATGCACTGTGAACTTTTCCTGGCTTAGCTGACAAATTGGTTCCTAGTGACACTGAAGGCAGGGTCCTAAACACTAACTGCATTCCTCTTTCTCCTCTTCTTTCACTCACACCATGGCTTTGCCCTCACCCCTGTTCCTAGGCTGCAGAGTATAACATCTTTGAAGGGATGGAGCTCCGTGGGGCTCCTCTGGTTGTCATCTGCCAGGGCAAGATCATGCTGGAAGACGGCAACCTGCATGTGACCCAGGGGGCCGGCCGTTTCATCCCCTGCAGCCCGTTCTCCGACTATGTCTACAAGCGCATTAAAGCCAGGAGGAAGGTAAGCAGTAGGATCCCAGAGGTGGGGCAGGGGCTTTGTGCTCTCTTCAGGCTCAGGGACACTAACCAGGAGATCGGAAGGGGGCTGCTCTCTCGATGCTCACAAAGAAATTCACAGCAATGACCTCATACCAAAGAACAACTGCACAGACTTAATGAACTGGAAAAGAGGGTTTTGAAAACTTTTTGGCCAAAGAAAGCCTTTTTCCAAATGATTTTCCATACATTTTTTTAGTGCTTTTATTTAAAATAACTTAAAATTTGAATAATTTTTAAAAAGTCAGTATATTTTTTATAAAAATAAAAATGTTAAAAAATATTACTTTTAAAGGCTTAAAACAAGAATCAACAGTCTACACCCACCCATCCTGTCCAGTGTTACTCCACAGGGGTAGACATGCAAGTTTTAGCTGTTGTGGTTCAAATAAAATCTTCTTTATGTCCCTGATTTTACACAAACACACACACACACACACACACACACACTCACGTATGTGTATATGCACATATGTTTTATATACTGTANTAAATGGTGCACTGGCTCTGAAAGTGTTCCCATTGGAAGGGCATATGTCACACTGCACTGGCCAGAGCCAGACCTGTGTCTGCACCTAATTGCAGGAAGGCGGGAAGTACAAGACCTTGTGCCTGGAAGGAGAAAAAATGGGAAATAATTGGTGAACAGCACTGATGACTTTCTCATGAAGAATTTCATGTGGAAGATCATAATTAAAGCCCAGTATCTGACAAAAAAGTGTTTAATACTTACTAGTGAAGCTAGTGAGTATTTTTTAAGCACTTATGTTTCAGGCACTGTGCTTTTCATTCACTGAATCTCCTTAATGGTCTTCCACTATTAAAATAGTAGATACTATTAATATCCCCATTTTATAGATAAGGAAATGGAGGCACAGAGAAATGAAATAATATACACAGCAAATAAGTGGTAAAGATAGCATTCAAACCCACACAACCTGTCTCCAAACTGATGTTCTTAACTGCTTGGCAGTAATGCCTCTCACTTGTTGAATAAACGGAGAGGTAGGTAGAAATCCCATTTTGGGTGGTTATGGCTTATGCTTAAACACTGTGTCATATTATTTAATTTCAAGCTGATAGAGACCTAAGGGCCTTGTAACCCCTCTGCCCACACACTCAATACAAGACTGCCGCGTACAACATCCCTGATGGTTATCCAGCTTCTCTTTGAACATTACCAGTGACAAACATTGACTGCCACTTGAGGACCTTGATAAAGATTGGGCCCTTCTTTTTGCCAGGAAGTCCAGTCTTTACTTAGCAAGTGTCTGTCTCCTGGTGCCTTCCACCCCTAAAAGCTGCCAGATGCACTGTGAACTTTTCCTGGCTTAGCTGACAAATTGGTTCCTAGTGACACTGAAGGCAGGGTCCTAAACACTAACTGCATTCCTCTTTCTCCTCTTCTTTCACTCACACCATGGCTTTGCCCTCACCCCTGTTCCTAGGCTGCAGAGTATAACATCTTTGAAGGGATGGAGCTCCGTGGGGCTCCTCTGGTTGTCATCTGCCAGGGCAAGATCATGCTGGAAGACGGCAACCTGCATGTGACCCAGGGGGCCGGCCGTTTCATCCCCTGCAGCCCGTTCTCCGACTATGTCTACAAGCGCATTAAAGCCAGGAGGAAGGTAAGCAGTAGGATCCCAGAGGTGGGGCAGGGGCTTTGTGCTCTCTTCAGGCTCAGGGACACTAACCAGGAGATCGGAAGGGGGCTGCTCTCTCGATGCTCACAAAGAAATTCACAGCAATGACCTCATACCAAAGAACAACTGCACAGACTTAATGAACTGGAAAAGAGGGTTTTGAAAACTTTTTGGCCAAAGAAAGCCTTTTTCCAAATGATTTTCCATACATTTTTTTAGTGCTTTTATTTAAAATAACTTAAAATTTGAATAATTTTTAAAAAGTCAGTATATTTTTTATAAAAATAAAAATGTTAAAAAATATTACTTTTAAAGGCTTAAAACAAGAATCAACAGTCTACACCCACCCATCCTGTCCAGTGTTACTCCACAGGGGTAGACATGCAAGTTTTAGCTGTTGTGGTTCAAATAAAATCTTCTTTATGTCCGTGATTTTACACAAACACACACACACACACACACACTCACGTATGTGTATATGCACATATGTTTTATATACTGTATGTATAAAACAGAGTAGCTCTAGTTGATTTAGGGGTGAGGTCTAGCACTTTTTCCCACCTTAAACATTTTATTTATTTTTGATTATACGTATTTAGGGGGTACAGATTTAACTGTCAGTACAGTATGTGATGATCAAATCAATGTTATTGGCAAGTTCATCATTACAAGTCGTAATTATTCTTTGTGCCCCTTACCCAATGACTCCCTAACCCTCTTCCCTCTTTCCCACCTCTAGTAACTATAGGTCTGTTCTCTCCTCCAGAACTTTCTTTTTCATTTTTCCTCTCTTCCTCTCACCAGTGTTCAGGTCACCATCCTATAACCTCAGGACTCCACAGAGCAAGGTTAGACCAGCTTTGGGATTGTGGAATTTGAGCTCCACACTCCAGTTTTGGCTTAATAGAGAAGAGGATGAAACTCACACTCCTTTAGTATCGACTCTTTATTTCTATTAATGTAACTTAGATTCTGGAACCAAGAAGATAATGATAATCTAGAGCTCTTGGTTGGGGGAGGACAGATATAGTCACCATCCCACCAGAATCCTTAGCATCTGCAGGTGTGATGAGCTTTGCTTCTGTGCCTGCACCTGCATCACTAACAGAGAGGGAAGGCTCTGTGGCAGGACTTCTTGGAGTCTCACGACGGTCCATCCTGTCCTGTCAGGCTCGTCTGGCAGCGTGTCCTCATTCCTCGCCTCTGGCCAATGATAAGAAATGGGCAGAGGCTGTGTGCTGCTGTATCACTGTCTTGGGTGGTCTTGCAGTGCTGTCTAATAGACTGCAAGCCCCTTTGAGGAGTCTCATGTGACCACTAGTCTCAGCGCCTGGCTGAAGGCCTTGCACAGCAAACAACTGGTTGATGCTGCTGGCTGGCTCCACAATCCCAGAGCAATTGAACAGCCACAGCCAGAGGTCAGTGGGTCCACAGGTCCCACAGCCAAAGGTCAGCCAGACCACAGACGCTCATCTCAAGGCCTGCCAACCCTGATCTGTGCCGAGGAGTGTGAGGGTGGAGCTCCTCGTGACCCCATCCCAGCCAGCACTTGTGACCTCATCTGGATGCTGCCCTTAGGCTCGCTCTACTCCCGCTGTGCCAGCGGTTCTTCCATTCCACACCATTCCCAGCTTCGGCTGTCTGCACTTGCTAGTCCCTCTGCTGGTTCTGCTGCCATCCACACCCTCCTCCAGCCCCTGGCTTCCTCGTTCTCCCAACCCCAACCCCTAAGGTCCTTTGACTAGATCAAAGTTCATCTAATTAGAGGGGCCTTTGCTGACCACCTCCATTGTCACTCTATCGTGACACCCTCCTGTGTTTATCTATTCTACCTCTTCCTTCCTTAAATTCTTTTTGTTATTATTATGATTACTTCCTTGTTCCCCTACACACACCCAATTCACTGATATATGTGTGCTACCAGGAACAGACCCTCCATCGTTGAATGAATGACTGATGTGCTTTTCCCCACCAGCAGATGGCAGACCTGCATGCCGTCCCGAGGGGCATGTATGATGGGCCTGTGTTCGACCTGACCACCACCCCCAAAGGGGGCACCCCCGCAGGCTCCGCCCGGGGCTCTCCCACTCGGCCAAACCCACCTGTGAGGAATCTCCATCAGTCTGGATTTAGCCTGTCCGGTGAGTGGGACAAGCATCAAGGAAGGAAAGAAGAGGGAGAAATTCAGGGCCCTATGGCTGGAGGGTGACCCTAGGAGCTCAACCTGAATGTGTTTTCCAGCCCGGTGCTGCATCATGTTTAGGGAGAATGTTACTGGGGCAAGCAGGAGGATTTGCTGAGTGAACGTGGGGTCCTGGGGTAAAAGTAAGACAAGGCACAGTCAGGTTAAAGACCAGGTTTAAATGATCACAAATTCTGCTTAGAGATCAGACCTGGCTGGGGTCGGGGCTGGGACTGGGGAGGTGATTTCCACTGTGAACTGATAAGGATTTTCTACGTTAGACTATGAGAGTTATGCAACATACTGTGTTTTCTTTATTTGTCTGGGTTAAAAAATAGCTCAGATTATTTTAATGCTCAAATTGCAGTATCTTCTAACCTAGGATTTTTATTATATTTTCCCCTCCCCAGTAATAATAATGCTAACGACAGCTACCACTGATGAACATTTACCATGCATTAGCCATACCGTTAATCTTGCCTATTCTTTAAGAACTTTGATATGAATAGAAAACAATTATTCAGTTACTCTTTAGCCAGTAGTCTCAAAATGGGGAAAAATAAATGTAAATTTTGGATCCCTATAAGGAACTTTTGAGTGAGGAAAGCAAGATAAGAAGGAAGGAAAGATATCAAAAGGGAAAATCAGTGTATAGGGAAGAAAAGAGGGAGAAGGAATGGGAGAAAAGAGATAAGGGAGACACAGGGGAGAAAGACAAAGGAAGAGGACTGAGTTTTCAGGTAACTTCCAGAGGTCACGATCTAGTCGCAGGAAGTTTTGTTAGTGTTTTTGCCATCTGTCATTGCTCCCCAGCTACCTGATCCTTAGGCTTTTAGAGGCTCCTTTCTGATGGACACAAGCACCCACTGGTGTTTCCTTTTGTGCTGTAGCCACAGGACTTGCCCATCACCACTTCACGTTATGAGACCTTGGGCAAGTCACCTAACCTCTCAGAACCTCCGTCACCTCCTCTGTAAAACAGGCACAGTCGTACTCTCTCAAACCACAGTGGTGTGTTAAACTCTTTAAACATGGCCTGCCGCCATGACTGTAAACAGCTCTCTCTCGTGTCCTAATCATTGCTGTTCCTACTGTTACTATCTTGCTGAAAGTCAAATGAAATCTAGAGAACAACTTGGCTTTTCCTAGCAGAGGGTAGTTTTCATGGGGTGGGGTGTGGGTGGGATATGAAATGTCTAGAAGACCTGACAGAACTGGAATGGAAGTTTCCTGAAAGACGAGGCCAGGAAGGCACATAATTTACACTCTTGAAATCAACCCATTTTCTCTCTTGCTCACACCGCTCTCTTTCCCTTTTTTCTCCCTGGGAATTTATTTCCAACTGCAGGCACCCAAGTAGACGAGGGGGTCCGCTCAGCCAGCAAGCGCATCGTGGCGCCCCCTGGAGGCCGTTCTAACATCACATCCCTGAGTTAAGCAACCCCTCCCCAAAGAGAGGGGCAGAAGCAACAAGTGATTTTTTTTGGAGCCAAAATGGTCCACCGATATTTAAGAAGGAAAGTGAATCCAAACATTTGCGATCTAAAGAATCAATAAGCCTCAAGCCTTATGTTTCTCTGATGTTACGCTCGCTTGCCTAGCTTTACGAATATTGCTTTGTTTCTGTTTATGCATAGCCTTGAATTGTTTGACCTCTTCCCCCATTTACATGCATGCGATCAGACAGGCCACTAAGGTAAAGGAGTCTGCTATATTATAGTGTTGAGAGCGTGTGTAGTGCTGCATCTTGCGACAAGGGGACCGACAAAGCTGGTATGTCAGGGAAATGAACAAAAGGGACACAAGTTATTTGGGGTGAGTGGGTGGTGGGAGCCCAGAGAAAGGTAAGGGTGCAGAGGGGCTGGTGTAGGGCGTGCAGGAGGGAGGTGGGGGGGCCGGGTGAGCAGAAGAGGTGTTGTGTATTGTGTTGACGACATATGTCTATTTCCACGGAAGATGGCCACGTGTGGCAGCTGCCACTTCATCACGGTCTCCTGGGGTCTGGAGAAGGCAGGCAGTCTTTGGATTCTGGACTTTGTCATGTCCCCTCTTGGTAGATGTTGTTTCTTTGAACATTTTATTAAAATGCCAAAACCCAACCATTTCTTCCACGCTTGATTGTGCCAGTGTTTGCTCGGGCCTCTTTCTCAGTGTTGCTTTCACATCCTCCTCTTCCCTGGGATGGGAAGGACAGGGTGGACCAGATGACACCTCTCTTCCTCTTGCCCTCCCTGTCTCTTTGGTGCTCTTACAAGGCAACAGCTGAGGGCACAGCACAGGCCCTTTGGTGAGAGTGGCCATGGCTTACATATGCCTCCCCCTAAACACGGGAGGTCACTGCTCACCCTCCTGTCTTTGCAAACCAAGAAGAGTAGCATGATTCTGGCATCCCGAGTTAGGATTTTGGCTCAGATGGGGCAGAATGAAGGGCCTTTCTTGCCACTATTTGATTCTCTCGATTTCCTGAGATCCAGGCACATTCATGATGGAATGGGATCTTTTTTTGGAAAGTTGATTTTATTAGGTTTTCCCTAACTTTTACAACTAATAGGTAATCTCAGCTTATACAGGAGTCAAGCAGAGACTTGGGAAAGCCAACCTTGAGCAGAGGGAGCATATTTTATGTCCCTGGTTCCATTTTCAATTCTAAACCATCCATTTCCTCTCCCATTAGCAGATCCTTTGGGGGAACTTTTTGTTCAGGTACTAACCTCTCCCAAGGTGAGTAGAGATGAGATGGTGCCACCTTCCCGATGGGGCACAGAGAAGAAATTAGCAGAAGTGTGTGCATCTACGTTCTCTGTCAGAGTTGAATATCAATTTCCCTATCATAACACTTCCGAAAATTCAGTTTTGGAGAAAGTTCTGTGAGCAAGACGAGGATCTGTAGAACCAAGACACTCACACAGGAAAAATATACTTGACCTGGGATCAGACTTCTGTGCTCTGGGGGACCCATCTGGTAGAACCCATAGCCTGGTGCTAAGTACTTTGAAGAGAAGAGCAGGCCTCAGACACCTTTTAAGTGCTTAGAAAAACCATTATCTCTCTGACTGGAGGTTTTAATAAGGTGAAGACCAGAGAAAAGTGATCATAGGCTAACAAAGGAATTTGGAAATAGTCAAGTGAGAGGATTTCCCCTAGCAAAGCTACTTTCTGTTCTAATCATGAAAAAGACTAGTTCCCCTCCTAATAGGGAATCTTGCTATTTTAAGGCTCTCCTAGTGCTTTTCTTTTATGGGAAACTTAAGTAAAAGGGAAACTGTAACTCTTAATTTGCAATTCAAAGATTTGGGAGCCTATCATACAACTCAGAAGGACAGTTTTATGTGTAGAGGGAGTTTTCCCGATCTTTAGCATATACCTCATTGGCAGGCTGCACTTCAGGATAGGTTGCAGTCCCAGCCAAAACCACCAGATGGAGGAAAAGACACGTAAATAAAGTCTAGTCTGAGCATCCACTTTGCACCATCTGCCCTGAGTCCAGCTCATTTCTCCATGCCATGAAAATAAATCTTCCAGGGCCACATTGGTGGTGTGCACTGCACTTGGGATTTCTGAAGTTAAGCATTCAACCATAACTACATTCTACATAAGCTTCCCAGGCTGTAGGAACAACCCTTGAAGCCCTCAGGATGGGCAACATTATCTAAGGAAGCCTCCCTTCCTTAAACTTACCATTGGTACCTTTCAAAGCGTAGAAATTCCTGAGAATTCCTAGAAAACTCCCACTATGTTCCTTATGTGGGTACTGAATCACATGTGACTTAAAACTTATATTCAAATTTGTTCCATTCCATAAGAAACATCAAACAGCCCTATGCAAAGGATTTAGGAGAAGAAAATGACAGTGAGTTATGGCTCTCTCTGAATTCACTGGCATCTCGCCCAAGTGCAGGAAGGCACACTGGCTCTGTCTCGCTCCCAAGCTTTCTTTTGTCTTTACAGCTCTTGGCTTGGCCCTCTGAGGATGCTCTGCCATTCCCCCAACCTCTCCCATTGTTTCTAAACCAGGTGGCAGTCAGCTGGAGTTCTCTCTGAGAGGGCCACAGGCTTGGGTAGCTGAGAAGGTATTTGTGGAACTGTTAGAACAGCTACTGCAGCAGAGATGTTTCTTTTGCTTCTAAATTTTCTGAAACTAGTAGGATTATAGTCATCCTGAAAATTGATTTTCTTCAAAGTTCAGTCATATAGCCTTTATATGATTTTCTTCAAAGTTCAGTCATATAGCCTTTACCTTAATATGACTATACCCAGAGAATCATTATCTTCTCCAAAAGCCTGAATCCTAAGCCTAGACTTTTGCTCACTCTGAGAAGCCCTTTCCAACAGGGTGGATGAGTCCCAACTTTGGATCTTGCCACAAGCTCCCCAGGCCCTCCCTCCTGGAAAGCTCCAGCTCGAGTCCCAGATACACACACAGGCTGTCCTGGGCAGCCAGCATTCACTGTAAGTTCCCTCTTTGAAAACCGGTGTGTGGATGTTCAGTTCCATGTCTGGTAAATATGGACAGACAGTAAATCTCCCTGTGATCTGTGCTAGCTGTGAGGCAGCTCTGGAACATGAAGAGCTGTTTGGTTTGAACCGTGAAGAAAACTGTGTTTTGAGTTTAGCTGAGGTTAAAGGAAAAAAAAAAAAAGTTCATCAAGTGACTGTTAATGTAAACCTGATTATTAAAATAACTGTAAAATTACCAACGTCGTCCTCCAGTCTTCTTCTCTGTGTGATGTGCTATTTCACCTAAATATTAAAACTGCAGAATCAAATTGAAATGGTTCGGAAGAGGGGGCAGATCTGATGATGAGAGAGATACTGGGAAAAAGTTTTTTTGGTTTCTGTCTTTTCATTGAAGTTGAGTTGTTAGTGTTTTGGCCACAGAGTTTGATGACCACCACTGAAATTTTGGAGAATGATTAAGGCTTTTTCTATGTATTATCAAATTTAGTATCAGTGTAGAAGGCATTACCATTCGAGTTGAATCTAAGTCCATTACAGATACTGAAAGTGATTATACCTTTTAACACAGGAGATCAGAAACCAGATCAAAAGCTACTCTGAGCACATAAAGAATTATTTCACACATTCAGGTTCAGTCTTTGATGTTTAATAAGCTTAAGTTCATAGTCCATTTTATGGCTCAAACTCAGGATTGGTGAAACACCTCCCCCTGCTCATGATCAAGGCAGCAACTGAGCTCTGTTTAGGATTAGAGTGGGTTTAAAGGGAACAGTCAGCACTTAAGATGAACTCAGGATGCAGGGCTCTAAAAGGTATGAAGTGATTTTTTTAAAAAGTTGGTGAAAGATACACATTGACTGACTTTCACACCTGTGTGGGCTGGAGGTATTCAGGGGCTGAGTCACATCTGACCAGGTAGGGAATGAGAACACTGAATAGGAATAACAAGAACACATTGGTTCCAAAGAACATTCTGGAATCAGCTGTACTACCACCAACCCATCACAAAGGGGACACTAACCATGAGCAGGAGATGGGGGATGAAAGTCCCAAAGCAACCTGCAAAAGTGAGATCATCACATACATAAGGCTGGCACACTTCACGATCTGAAACCTAGATCTTGTCCTTTGCTCAGCTGGCTGCTGGGAACACAACAGGGAACTTCACATGACCTGGGCAACAGGGTACTTAGCATGCAGGACTTTAGAGCCCACAAGACTCGCAAGAGCCTACTTATTTCAGGACAAGCCTGGGGAGCCAGCGGCTTGCTGGCTGCTGAGGTATTGTGGGTCTGATAAGTAGTTGAAAAGTCCCTTTATTCACTCCTAAGGCAAAAGTTCCTTCCAGATGCATGAGTTCAGAGCTGCCTGTTACTTTCCTATCCTAGATTATGGGTCCTGAAGCATCTACCTGCTGCTGTGGCATACGAAATGGGACAGGACCTTGAATAGGAGGGCAGAGTGTTGATAAAGAGGTGCATGGGCTATCCATGGCCTTGAGGTCATAGTAAAAAGCAGAAACTGGAATTTCGGGCTGTGTTCTCTGCGGTGTGAATGCTAGAGGGATCAGGTTTTTAGTTTTTTATATATCAGTCAGTATAGTTGTGCTGCATTCCATAGTTGCAGAATATCATCTCTCATACCAGCTTGTCTCTGTTCAGGTTCATCCTCACAACAGGGAATGAGAGTAAGAACAGGTAACTTTGGGCACCCCCAGTGCTACCTCTAGGGGAAACAACTACATACACACACGTATACACACAACTGACAAAGAAGGGTCAGTAGCTTACTGTTTACAGAAGACATTTTAATACACGCAGGCACATTTGCATTACATAAGCTACAGCTCAGCAGAAGCCCTTGTTTCCCATTCAAGGACTGCCAGATCAGCTGCCTGTTCACAACAGCACAGATAACTGACATTTGGATTTTTAATAACAATGTTTACTAACAGACACGCTGAGCTTGTAATAAACAGTAATCACAGGCGGACAGAGTAGGAAACAGGATTTTTTTATAGACAGAATACAAGGACAAGCAGGTACTAAAACAAACTCATGATGCTTTTTATTCCTTTTAGTTCAGCTTCTGAAGAGTTAAAGTCTTAGAATTACTGTGTCATCCACAAGCAGCAACAATGGCCCCTGCCAGCTACTTAATACTCGTTATTCATCCACCCAATCTAGAAAAGCTATGATGATAGAAAGTCTAGTCATCTCTGGATAAATCTTTCCTATCAGAAGAAGCCTAACCACTAATTAATTAGATTACTGTAATTAATTTTGCAATGCTCTGTGCTGCTTGAAGTTCATTCCTGCCCTAGCAATGACCTCATGTGAAACCAGTGCTGCCGTGGAAGTCTGTTAGCCATTAGCAGAGCATTTCCTTCCACAGAGTTAGGAGCGTGGCCAAGGTTGCGGGGCTCAGCTACCCTACCCATCCACTAGAGGGCACTACGAACACAATGGATGTGGGTGGCCCTGCTGCAGTGCAAGGAATTCTAACCAGGATGCTTCTGATCTCCAAAACCTGCTCAGACTTTCTGGATGCTCCATACAGGTAAGGGAAGAAGCTGTTAAGGGAAAAAGATGCCAGCAATTCCAGACAACAGGATGCAGTAGTCACTGTGTTTTCCAAAATTCTCAGCCCTGAGCTTGGTTGTCATGAATCTAGATGAAACATGTTCCATCTGGTGAGATATTAACTTTTAAGCCAAGTTATGGAATAAAACCAAAGGATCTGACTTCAACAACTAGCGCAGTAGTCACTGTGTTTTCCAAAATTCTCAGCCCTGAGCTTGGTTGTCATGAATCTAGATGAAACATGTTCCATCTGGTTAGATATTAACTTTTAAGCCAAGTTATGGAATAAAACCAAAGGATCTGACTTCAACAACTAGCAATCACCATAAGGATTTAGGAAGAGTTTTCTTTTTTGGAAAACTTTCTTGTTCTCATGTTTAAAATGCACTGAGGTGGGAGGTGCTTAGAATCAGTTGTTCCACACTGTCAGACACAGTCCCTTCTCTTTTCTAACTTGAAACACTGTGTGTGTGTCACCTGTCTAGGACTGGAAATCTATCTTACTCTCTGACACTGTGCTCTTTAATCTGTGCATCCATAGTTCCTGAGAGCCCACAGAAGTGCTTTAGGCACAGAAGCAGCTCAGTAGAAATAAAAACTAGGGATTCAGACTACTGAGATTGTATGGGTTCCTATCTCATTATAAATTGTATAGATGTATGATGACACAGATGATGAACTCTCACCACAATGGAGACCCTGATGATGTCACTGACCTTTGGTAAGTATGAGAACAAAAAAGTTTTCCAAAGCCTCTCCTTTGGAAGGATGCAAACAAGGTTACAGCAAGAAGAACCAGGTGATGGGAGAGGTAAGTCCACAGCACATCAGGGCTGGAATCAAAACAAATGAAAGAAGGAAGTTGATAAACATGCAAGCAACCTCTGCCCCGCCTGGGGTTACCAGCCTGGGGCAGAATCCAGTCACCTTATTATTATTTATTGCTCTTTTCTATCCATCCCCCTCTCTGCAATTGAGTCAGGGAAAGTGCTTAGAGTTTGTAGAATTTGGAGAAGAACAAAATACCATAGACAACATGTGGGAACTATAGATAAAATGAATCAAACAAACAGAACAAAAGAGTTGGTTTTTAATTCTTTAACAAAAATATGATCGCTCTTAAAGTACAGAAGTGCTATTTCACAGTTCTTCCAGAAATTCTGGGCCTGTTAGGTCATTAGGGAGAGAATAGTAAATGCTGAGCTAAAGTTTAGGTCTGGCTTTCTAGTCATGCTTAGTTGCCCCTGTAGGACCTTACTTCTGGAAAAGTCCGGTATAATAGGCAGCCATATCTGTTACTTCTATTT